GGCTCTTCTCATATCTACCAAACCCTCTCTTTCAATAGGGAAGGGACAGCAAAATGGAGTTCAAAAGGAACTGCTTAAGTTTGTGGGAACAGGCTGCAGAAACAGTGTCCAGTCCTTAATGATGATGATTTCATACCAGAATTGTGTAGTTTTTTTTTCAGTTGATTTGATGACCCTAAACGTCAAGATCATAGAATCATAGAATCCCTACCGTGTGCAAACAGGCCATTCGGCCCAACAAGTCCACACTGCCCCTCCGAAGAGCATCCCACCCAGACTTATCCCATGTCTAACCCACCTAACCTAAACATCTCTAGGCACTATGGGCAATTTAGCATGGCCAATCCACCTACCCTCCATATCTTTGGACTGTGGGAGGAAACCGGAGCACCCGGAAGAAACCCACGCAGACACTGGGAGAATGTGCAAACTCCACACAGACAGTCACCCAAGGCTGGAATCGAACCCGGGTCCCTGGCGCTGTGAGGCAGCAGTGCTAGCCACCGTGCAACCCTTATTAAATAGTTCAAAGATTTTGAATAAGAACAGGAGGTGCAAGACTAATGACAATTCAAAACTCTCGTAACAATAGTTCAGCAGATAAGGGAAGAAGGTATGTGTCAAAAAAAAGCTTGAAACAATTTCTGTCTGTCAGTGTCTCTTTTTTTTCTCTCTCTCCCTCCCTCCTCTCCCCTCTTTTTTTTTTCCCCTCCCCTCTTTTTTTTTTCCCCTCCCTCTGTGTTCTTTATGGTTAATGGATGGTTGAACAGAAAAAGATCTCTCAAATTCAACAAAGGATCAGCAAAAAGCAATTGTTGAATTCATCTTAGACAAAGGCTGGCCTAACTGGTTGGCAAGTCACAAGTATGACTGACGAGTGTTCCACAAATACTATGAGGAAAAGGGGAAAATGTTATTGGGAATGATCCTAGTCATCTGTGATAACTGACAACATGCAACCTGGAGAGTTATACCTGGTTGCAAATATTCGGGTAACTAAGAGAAAATATAACACAAGGAATTGTGGCATCCTTCCTTGTGTGATGCAAATAGGAGGGATGGTATTAGGTGTCACCCTAGAGGGATGCAACAGAGGAATGTCTCTGATCACGTGCCCGTACCTAATCCACAAGACAGAAGAGGCCAAGTGTGGCTTTAACACGATCACTAACTGTACCATAGAAGCTCCGTCAGCTGATATGGAGCCTACTCAAGTGGCCAATGTGGGGATTGGCTGCTATTGTGTTACCACAGCCCAGCCATGGGGTTCCAGCATGGAAACATGTGATATCCCATGGAAACAGAACTGTTTTACACCACAGCTACCATCACAGATCGGAAGGATGGAGCTGGTAGACATCCATCAAGACGAGATGGTCAATCTGGATGTAAAAGCATTTAAGATGAAATAGAGCAATCTGTAAACAAGTTTTCATACCCCAGTCCTCTGCTACCTGAACATTAGACCACAATTTAAAAAGGATTAGAAACGGTACACAAAATATACTATATCCTACAACAGAAAACCAAATACATCAGAAGAGAAATTGAACAAATCAATTTTAACATATGTTGGGAGGACCTTTGGAACTGGTGTTTCAACATATGGATACATGCCTGGATAATGATAATATCTCAAGAGGAGGTGGTAGTATAACTGTTGATTGTGTTGATAGGTATGACTTGCTACTTAGAGAAGACAATAAAAAGGTACCAGAGAAAAACATACATCACCATTCAGAATAATGAGAGGGGGAAGAATCAGCTGCACCCAACTTATGAGACAATATGGTAGTACACATAGCCATTGCTTGCATTTGGAGTGTTTAGGATTCTCCATTATTCCAGATGATTAGTCATCTCAAGGAAGTAGAGAATTTGCAACAACTTCCAGTTAGTTGGCTATTTTGGACAGGGCGAAGGGCCAAAAGGAGGTGGGCGGGCTGAAAGGGGAAAAATCATTTAAAATAAAAGTTTATATAATCTCAGGTAGGATAGTTTTTGGAGCAAATAATGTAGCTTAGAAAAAATAGCTAAACTAATCCAGGGTATTACAGTTGTGCATGGTCAGACGTTAACAGTACCAACAGGGCAAAAACAGATAAGAAAGGGTTAAAACAAACAGGCATGTCCCAGAGTTACAAAGAATTACACAAGACAGTGAAATGATAATATTCACGCAAACAATGCTAGAGCTAGAGCAAATGGCTCCTTTCCCATGAGAAGCCGGCTAGATGTGCCACCCTAAGACGTTAAGCCATTGTACCCAATTATTGCCCCAGTACAGTCTTCCAGCCTATAGAACTAAGTGCCACATCAAAACAAGATTAAAGGCATAGCAGCTGGCTGTCTGTTTACCTCCTTTCCTTCATGTACACGTTCCCTAGTGTTATTTACTATTTAAACATCATAGATAGGATTTGACCATGATTGGATGAATAGAATAACATATTATAGGTTATTTATCCATTCAAACAAATTGGTAGTACAAAAACTAGTATTTGTAACAGCTCAGGTAGTTTCATTTTCCCATGGGAAAAATAAGTCTCCCTTCCATGTACATGAATAAACACCAGTAAAATCTCAAGTGTCTCCATCTGATTTTAACGGTTGAGGAAATGAAAGAAATCTCCCCCTTCAACCCCCATATTCCCCTCACCCAAATCCCATTCAACCAATTCCCTCTCCTTTCCCACATCAGAAATCACACGATACCAATACAATATAAATAAATGAACATGCTTTTTTTTCAGATTTTTAAATATTACAGCAGTTTGTCACATACAACTGTTTTTACGATCTTTAATTTTCTGTTTCTCAAATATGTATTATACATTTATACTGCAAAAACATTTTTCATTTATTATATGTTCTGTCTTCAGTAAGTCTTCATCAGTTGGAAGTGAAATTGATTTCTAATTTGCTAAAATATTGGTTGAATGTTTCTTTAGGCAATTAGATTACATCTTTCATGAGAAAATTATAGTCCAACAGGTTTATTTGAAAACACAAGCTTTCGGAGTTTTACTCCTTCTTCAGGTGTTAGGGAGAGAGGTAGTATCAGACATAGAATTTATAAGTAAAAGATCAAAGGTTACACCATTGATGAGGATGTCCTAAACAAACCCAAGATGCTGTTAAATGTTTAATCGGTTTAAGATTTTAATTGGTTAATATGTATATGTAAATCCCTGAATTCCTTTGAAGTCACTGTTCTGAGAGATTTAAAGGTTTTGTCAGTGTAAAGAAGAGGTGACATTTTAGGTCAGACAATGCATGTTAGGTGTGAGGCCTTGTTTAGAATCTGTTTGTGTTATGGTTTGGAGACCAACTGGTTGTATTTCTAAAGTAGGAATTGATAAAACACCACATTGACTGTCTATAAATTGTGCTTTTTGAACAAAATAGAATGTATCTGCAAATGCAAATACAAATACGCACACACTTGAATCCTATCTCTCTCACTAACACCTGAAGAAAGAGTAAGACTCTGAAAGCTTGTGTTTTCAAATTAACCTGTTGGACTATAACCTGGTGTCATGTGATTTCTGACCTTGTCCACCCCAGTCCAGCACTGGCACCTCCACATCATGACTTTCCCACATCCTCACTCCAAATCCCCCTTCTTTTGACTCCCCCATGCTTAAGTCCTCTTTGCTTCCCAACCTCTCTTCCTCCCCATTTAATTCCAAAACCCCTTTATTTCTCCATACACATCCCCTATCTCCCTCCTTT